CTACTTCTTCCCGAATCTGAGCGATTTTATCTGCAAAAACTTTGCAAAATCATTGCAGGAGAACATGTGGCCCGTACTGGGCCCCGATGTTGCAGGTGGTTCCGCTAAATTGTGAACCACCTGAAAAAGTCTCCTGCTGCTGTTTTCTGCAGATGCAATAGAGGCAGTGAAGAAATTCTTCTTCGCCGTCGCTATCGCCACTTGGTAGGCTCGACGTTGAGCTCTAACCTGTGTCCGGTCAGATTCGGAATGAGTTATCCGCCACCGGCGCTCTAGCCGTCTCAACGATTGTTTCATTGCCCTCAGATCCGTGGAAAACCACGGGGCTGTCCGGGCTCCATGCAATCGGAGAGGGCGCTCGGAGCCAAACAGTCAATAGCCCTGGTTAACTCCACATTCCAGCGGGCCACCAGGGAATCAGCTGAAAGGCCATCAACATGGGATAAAGCATCCCCTACCACTCTCTGGAAACCATTTGGATCCATTAAGTGGCGGGGCGGACCATCCGAATTGGTCCCACCTCCCTGCAGAGGGGATGGGTCGCAGAGAAGTCCAGTTGCACCAGGAAGTGATCTGACCATGGCACTTCTTTCGTTTCGCTTTTACTTAGTGTCAGATCACCAACATCCATAGAGGTAAACACCAGGTCCAAGGCATGTCCGCGGCTATGGGTTGGGCCAGACTTATTCAGGGACAGCCCCATGGAGGCCATGCTTTCCACGAAGTCCCGAGCGGCCCCTTGTAAGGTCGTGTCGGCATGGATGTTAGAATCCCCTAGGACGACCAAACTAGGTGTCTCCAGGAGAACATCCGCCACGACCTGAAGCAGCTCAGGCAGGGAATCCTTGGTGCAGCGGGGAGGTCGGTATACCAAAAGGAATCCTGTACTGCCCCTATTGCCCAACTTCCAGAACATGCACTCGGAAAACTGGGTCTTCCCAATAGGACGCCTGGTGCAAACTAATGACTTCCTAAAAATAACTGCAACCCCCCCGCCCCGCCCACATGACCTGGGTTGCTGTGCGTAAGAGAAACCTGGTGGACAAGCAGCGGCAAGGACAGGCCCATCTGCTTCATCCAACCAAGTCTCTGTTACACATGCCAGGTCAAGTCCTCCATCCATGATCAAGTCATGGATGGCAGTGGTCTTATGAATCATTGACCTGGCATTGCACAGCAGAACCTTCAGGTCATGTGGGTATCCCTTGCTGATTCTAGTATCCATCCGGTCAGGACCAGACCTGGAGGCAATGACAAACCTAGACAGGATCTTAAAAATCAGAGACATCACCTTGCCAACAAAGGTCCGTATAGTTAAAGCTATGGTTTTCCCAGTAGTGATGTATGGAAGTGAAAGCTGGACCATAAAGAAGGCTGATCGCCGAAGAATTGATGCTTTTGAATTATGGTGCTGGAGGAGACTCTTGAGAATCCCATGGACTGCAAGAAGATCAAACCAATCCATTCTGAAGGAAATCAGCCCTGAGTGCTCACTGGAAGGACAGATCCTGAAGCTGAGGCTCCAATACTCTGGCCACCTCATGAGAAGAGAAGACTCCCTGGAAAAGACCCTGATGTTGGGAAAGATGGAGGACACAAGGAGAAGGGGACGACAGAGGATGAGATGGCTGGATAGTGTTCGCGAAGCTACCAGCATGAGTTTTACCAAACTGCGGGAGGCAGTGGAAGACAGGAGTGCCTGGCGTGCTCTGGTCCATGGAGTCACGAAGAGTCGGACACGACTAAACAACAACAACAACAACAGTCATGTGACTGCCAACTACTGCCATCCTGGTGTGAAGAACTAAGCATGCAAATCTTATGTGATATGAACATACAGGTGTGAGTTGGGGTACCTCTAACTCTCAAGTTTTGATATTTGGGTTACTGTATCTCCCCAGCTAATTCTGAATCAGTTTGTCACTTGCAAAGTTCACAGCCTATGTTCCCTTTGGGTTCCTGTGCCTGTCTTTAATTAGCCAGTGTAACTTCAGAAGCAATTAACCGGAATAGTAAAAGAAATTTCTCCTTATGCATGTACAGCTGCTGGTTTTCTTGGCTTCCTCGCTACTGCTAGTAATAATTAATAAAGCAGCCTTAGCAATACCTCTCAAGTACTTCACACCTTCAGAAGGCTAAGCAAACTCGGACTCATTAATTGTTTCTGCAGGGCACTGGGAACTGATTGTTTTCAAAGGGAAGCTGGATGGATAAGGGACAGAATAAATGTTTAAGTTACTTTCCCCATTGTCCAAAGGGCATCCCCTGTGCCAAGCGGAACCTGTGGGAATGCACTTGGGGAGGGGGGGAAATATTACACTGTGACCCCATGGGATAAGCCATCAACCGAGGAAAGAATGTTAGTTGATTAACCACAAACCTTTCAATTAGTTAATCATTATTCAATGAAAATAAATTTATGTATTACAGAAGCCACCTGCTAGGTTCCGAGCCCCATGCAGCTGATCAGACTGCCTAATAAAACTGCTGCCCAGGTAGTCATCATGGAGCCCATATGCTCAATCAGGTATTTCAAGTTTAAATAATATGGACGTTAACACATTATGCACAGATTTCCATGCAAAATCCAACAAAGAGATTTGATATTATGTGAAGAATATCTTATACAGTGGTGCCCCGCAAGACGAATGCCTCGCAAGACGGAAAACCCGCTAGACGAAAGGGTTTTCCGTTTTTGAGTTGCTTCGCAGGACGAATTTCCCTATGGGCTTGCTTCGCAAGACGAAAATGTCTTGCGAGTCTTGAGATTTTTTTTCGCTCCCCCCCCTTTTTCTAAGCCACTAAGCCGCTAATAGCCTTTTAGCAGCTAAGCCGCTAAGCCGCTAAGCCGCTAAGCCTTTAATAGCCGCTAAACCGCTAATAGCGCTAATCCGCTAAGCCGCTAATAGGGTTGCTTCGCAAGACGAAAAAACCGCTAGACGAAGACACTCGCAGAACGGATTAATTTCGTCTTGCGAGGCACCACTGTATCTTGAAACTGGTAGCATATCTTGATTCAGGATGGTTGGGTCACCACTAGGTGCCAGATAAGTTTTTCTCTGGCTGGATTCAACACATGGGCTGCCAGTTGAAAACCCTCACCCCCAAATGCCAATCAACCAAACATATTAAAGCAGGGATCGGAACCAGTGTCCCTCCAGATCTCATTGGACTACAACTCCCATCATCCCTTACCATTGACCATACTGGCTGGGGCTGATGGGAGTTGGAGTCCAACAACATTCGAAAGGCCACAATTTCCCCCTCTCCCTGTGTACTAAAGCTTACAACCCTCAGGATTCCCCCCTCCCTTTCTTATTTTAATGTTGAGGGGAAAGGATAGGGTAGTAATTCTAATTCAGTTCATGTTTAAAGACGAATCTACCAAATCTTCATTTTCAGAAATAGTGTCATCTGAAGCACAGCTCTCCTTCAAAACTCACACTTATCCAAATATTGCAATGTAGTTCTCCAATCAAAGTTTTTCAAAAACTCATATTTTAGGGTGTAGCTAGGTGATCTTGTGTCCCTGACAGAACCGTCCAGATAGCGCCTCCTAGCGACAGACAAATTAGCTATTCTTTCTGCCCCTCCTCTGACCCCCCCATTCAATTCACCCTCTATTAAAAACCTTTATTAAAAGACGTAGTTATGGACATATTTTTAGCATATTTTGCACCCCTCTTGCCTGCACCCTGGTGAAGGACCACCTCGCTAGCTACAACCCTGTTTTAGGGGGAAGTGTGCAGAAAAAAGAATGCGAATGGTGAAAATTATCATACAAAAATTCATTTTACATGGACCTTTATCAGAAGAGATTCACGCTAGAACACCAATGAAGTTTCAGAATGATTTCTTTTTAATCCCAAATTGCTGTAGCAATGTTGAGCACGGAATTTTGGATTGGAAAAATGAGAGATTGAGAGGCCAGAAATGGGAAGACCTAGCTGCACGCCATCTCAAAACATCTAAAGGGTGGAGATAAATAAACAACTGCACAAAGTACAGACGAGCAAAGATGAGTTGCTTTGGCACTTGGCCGTGCATTTGTTCCAAGAAAATTGGGGTAGTTTTAGGAACAAAGGAAGCTGCCTTAAACTGAGTCAGAAGTAATAATAATAATAATAATTCATTATTTATACCCCGCCCATCTTGCTGAGTCTCCCCAGCCACTCTGGGGGCTTCCAATCAAGTGTTAAAAACAATACAGCATTAAACATTAAAAACTTCCCTAAACAGAGCTGCCTTCAGATGTCTTTTAAAGAGAAGATAGCTGCTTATTTCCTTCACATCTGAAAGGAGGGCATTCCACAGGGCGGGCACCACTACTGAGAAGGCCCTCTGCCTGGTTCCCTGTAACTTGGCTTCTCGCAGTGAGGGAACCGCCAGAAGGCCCTCGGCGCTGGACCTCAGTGTCCGGGCTGAACAATGGGGGTGGAGACGCTCCTTCAGCTTTACTGGGCCGAAGCCGTTTAGGGCTTTAAAGGTCAGCACCAACACTATGAATTGTGCTCGGAAACGTACTGGGAGCCAATGCAGATCTCTCAGGACCGGTGTTATGTGGTCCCGGCGGCCACTCCCAGTCACCAGTCTAGCTGCTACATTCTGGATTAATTCCAGTTTCCGGGTCACCTTCAAAGGTAGCCCCACGTAGAGCGCATTTCAGTAGTCCAAGCGGGAGATAACCAGAGCATGCACCACTCTGGCGAGACAGTCTGCGGGCAGGTAGGGTCTCATCCTGCGTACCAGATGGAGGTTGTAGACAGCCGCCCTGGACACAGAATTAACCTGCGCCTCCATGGACAGCTGTGAGTCCAAAATGACTCCCAGGCTGTGCACCTGGTCCTTCAGGGGCACAGTTACCCCATTCAGGACCAGGGAGTCCCCCACACCAGCCCGCCCCCTGTCCCCCCAAAATGGCCCTCGTAGTTCAATACTGTTTGCACAAACTGGCAGAGGCTATTTGGGGTTTCAGGCAGAAGCTTTTCCACACCCCCACCTGGAAATGTTGAGGATCGAACCCAGAACCTTCTGCATGCAAAGCAGCAGCTCTGTCCCTGAGCCACAGCCCTTTCCACCCGCTGTCCAGGAGAGAGGCAGCCAGACCCGTGGCCATGCTCAAATCCTCTTGGGCTCTGACAGCTTCATTGGCGACGGCAAGCCAGTGTCAACTCATTTCAGGGCTTCACAATAATAACCGTTTCACTTCAGTTTATGAGATGTGGCTATCACTCTGGCTGAGGTCACCCCGAGAAAAATGAGTTTGGTCACTACTGCTCAGAAAAGCCCAACACAAATCATTTATCTTTTGCTTTAAGAGAGGTCTCCCGGGTCCCCATGTTACAGCCCAAATCACCCTGCGGAACGTGGCGGGGGCTTCGCTTCATAAAACGACCCCCCCCTCTTCGCCAGCTACCCCGTACTAAAAGTCAGCGACTTCCCAGGACCGCGAGGGCAACTGACAAACTAGCACTCTGGTTTATTAATACCTGTGGCCTTGGCTGTAAAGAAAGGCAGTTGAGTTCTGATCTGATCGCTCCCAGAAATCGTACAAAGGGCAAAACCCAATATTACAAGATATGCTTTCAAAAGAGCTTATTATCCTTGAATGAGGAGTAGGAGGGGAAATGAATTCTAAGCTCTTTATCCCCGCGTTGCTAGATTATGTGCTTCTGGCTGTGGTCCCAACGTAGCTTGTAGGCATCAGAATGACTCCCGAGGCCATGCGCTATCTGAGAGATGGTGGGCGGGGGGGGGGAGGCCATTTGACACTTAATAGATTTGGTGAAATTTCCCTCGAGGATAATTTTTGTGTTTATTTTGGCCACATCAAGCAGCACCATCAACATACCCACCAACATCTCTCAGATGAAAATAGGGACATTTTTCATCCCCTAACTGACCCTCCTCAACCCCCCGTTTTTGTCCCCACCCCCTGCAGAACATTTCTTATCAGAAGAAGGGCAAGTGCCACCCCCACACCAAGGGGACACAGAACGCACACCCTCCATTGTCCTGAGAAAACCCTTTAATCCCGATTATTTTATTTTATTTCATTCTTTGGTAGGTCTACAGAAAGAAAAACAGACAACAATAAATAAATATTAGAAAGGGGTAAGATTAGATGAGGATGCACAAAACATTTAATAATAATAATAATAATAATAATAATAATAATATAAACAACAACAACAACAACTCCTTGATCCCGCTCCCCATTTCTTCCTGCCCAGGGCAGCCCTGCCCTCTGCCTGCCCCTCAAAAAAACGCACAGAAAAGCTCAAAATACACGTTGATCTACCCACACATAGTTGTTATCTCTGAGAAACATAGAAAATAACAGGATATATTTATCCAAAAGTCTTCAAACTTACACAACCCTTTAAAAATTAGTTGATGAAGGTGAATACATTGAAACAGAGCCCTGTCCTAGTTTCTGATCCATAATTGACTTCTGACTTCTGCTAAATGATTGAAACAAATTATTGTGTTATACATATCTTTATGAGTCTGAGTTTGTAATCTCTGTTAGAGTTTGTAATCTCTATTTCAGTTTGTAATCTTTATCAGAATACATACTTTTGAATGAATCAGTTTTTGTTAAAATTGACTATTGATTTGTGAGTAGGGACCACTCCCACTATTGAAACTTACATTGGCCTGAGTTCTTGGTGTGCTTTTTTCTTCGTATATTTAATAACAAGAACTCCAATTTATTCAATGCCCCTCAGAGCCGACACGGCACAAGGGGCTGGGCCTTGGCGGTGGCATCTCCTTGCCCGCTTTCCAGCAGCTGCTACAGGCGGCCCAAGGTAGGAGGCCAGCAGCAGCGGCCATTGAAAGGCCATGGGGAAGCAAGGAGAAGCTCTCTTGCAGCAGCCGCCACTTGGGACAAGCACTGGCCCATCCTCCCCCCCCCCCCGGGTGGAATGGCGATGCCCATCAACTTGGCAGGGGCCCGGCTCCCTCAATATTTTATTGGGGTGACCGAAGGGACTTCAGCCCCTGAGAATCAGCTTGTGTGCTCCTCCCTGAGCTTGGCAGCGGTGGCACTGGCAGGGGAAATGGGGACATTCTGGGGTCAAAGCAGAATCTAGGATGACTTTTGCAATTCTGGGGCTGTGTTATAAGAATTTTAAGGTCTTAGATATTAATAAATGTTCATAAATCTACCAAGCAAACACGTACATAAATATATAAATCACATGTCTGAAACCCCACAGAAAAAAGTCCTGAACAAATTGACCTCAAATATTTCTCTGCAAGGTCAAAGTGGGAAACCTCCCCATTGTCTCTTTCCTCACAAATCCTGTCTTAAGGGCACATTTAAGATACGAATAGGGTGTGAGCCTGTGACCTGGCTCAGGAACTAAGTATTTATCATTACAAAAGACTGGTCAGGCTCCCCAGGGTATCCAATCAAGTAAGCATTAACAGATAACCTGGCAGATAGGAGGTAAACAACGCACTCAGATTTGTGCTGTAGACCGCCCTTTCTGTGATGTAGGTATGATGTTTCTGGGGGTGGTCTTGGACTCCAAGGCGGGCAATTTAAAATGTCTATATAAGGGCGGACACACCTTTGTTCTGGGTTCCTCCTCCTTTCCTGCGTGTGAGTGGGGACCCTGTTGCAACAGATCGATAAAGATCAGGCTTACTAGCTGCTTTGCTTCTCAATATTCTCTGGTTGGCCTCTGTTATTTTCTCTTACCAATAGGTAACCTACATAAGGACTCTATATGGGCTCTTGGGTACCCCATAAGGAAGAAAAGGGGGGATTTTTGTTTACAACAGGCTGTCCCTGGAAAATTGGGGTGCTTGGAGGGTATGCATCAAGTAAACTCTCTGCCTTGCTCCATTATTTTGCTTGACTGTAGTCTACTCTGAATGGGTGGCGCTGTGGGTTAAACCACAGAGCCTAGGACTTGCTGATCAGAAGGTCGACGGTTCGAATCCCCATGACGGGGTGAGCTCCCGTTGCTCAGTCCCAGCTCCTGCCAACCTAGCAGTTCAAAAGCACGTCAAAGTGCAAGTAGATAAATAGGGACCGCTCCGGCGGGAAGGTAAACGGTGTTTCTGTGCGCTGCTCTAGTTCACCAGAAGCGGCTTAGTCATGCTGGCCACATGACCCAGAAACTGTACGCCGGCTCCCTCGGCCAATAAAGTGAGATGAGCGCCGCAACCCCAGAGTCGGTCACGACTGGATCTAATGGTCAGGGGTCCCTTTACCTTTAATCTACTCTGAAGGCAGCTTTAGCTACTGCAGCCCAGTGCCATGGCTGGGAAAACTGTGACCTACTCAGGCTGCTCTCCAGATGCTAACTGGGCAACTCCAAGGCTCCTGCATGCCTCCTATCTTAGCATTCTTCATCTTTCACGGAATCATAGAGATGCCGCATTGGAAGGGACCACAACATGGGATCATGTAGCTCAATGCCCTGCAATTCAATAATCCTTTTGCTCAACATGGGGCTCGAACCCACAGCCCAGAGATTAAGAGTCACATTCTTGGATCCCTTCCAATCAGGGTTCAGGCCTCATCATGGGACTGAAACTGCCTTGGTTGCACTGGTTGATGATCTCCGGCGAGCTAGGGACAAAGGTGAGATTTGTTTCCTAGTTCTGCTGGATCTCTCAGCGGCCTTTGATACCATCGACCATAACATCCTTCTGGACCGTCTAGAGGGGTTGGGAGCTGGGGGCACTGTTATACAGTGGTTTCGCTCCTTCCTCCTGGGCCGTGTTCAGAAAGTGGTGGTGGGGGATGAGTGTTCAGACCCTTGGGCCCTCACTTGTGGGGTGCCTCAGGGTTCCGTCCTCTCCCCATGCTTTTTAACATCTATATGAAGCCGCTGGGAGAGATCATCACGGGGTTTGGACTGGGTGTCCATCAATATGCAGATGATACCCAGCTCTACCTCTCTTTCAAATCAGAACCAGTGAAGGCGGTGAAGGTCCTGTGTGAGTGCCTGCAGGCGGTTGGAGGATGGATGGCGGCTAATGGATTGAAGTTGAATCCTGACAAGACAGAAGTACTGTTTTGGGGGGACGGGGCGGGCTGGTGTGGAGGACTCCCTGGTCCTGAATAGGGTAACTGTGCCCCTGAAGGACCAGGTGCGTAGCCTGGGAGTCATTTTGGACTCACAGCTGTCCATGGAGGCGCAGGTCAATTCTGTATCCAGGGCAGCTGTCTACCAACTCCACCTGGTACGCAGGCTGAGACCCTACCTGCCCGTGGACTGTCTCGCCAGAGTGGTGCATGCTCTAGTTATCTCCCGCTTGGACTACTGCAATGCGCTCTACGTGGGGCTACCTTTGAAGGTGACTCAGAAACTACAGCTAATCCAGAATGCGGCAGCTAGACTGGTGACTGGGGGCGGCCGCCGAGACCACATAACACCGGTCTTGAAAGACCTACATTGGCTCCCAGTACGTTTCCGAGCACAATTCAAAGTGCTGGTGTTGACCTTTAAAGCCCTAAACGGCCTCGGCCCAGTATACCTGAAGGAGCGTCTCCACCCCATCGTTCTGCCCGGACGCTGAGGTCCAGGGCCGAGGGCCTTCTGGCGGTTCCCTCATTGCGAGAAGCAAAGCTACAGGGAACCAGGCTGAGGGCCTTTCGGTAGTGGCGCCCGCCCTGTGGAACGCCCTCCCATCAGATGTCAAAACGATAAACAACTACCTGACATTCAGAAGACATCTTAAGACAGCCCTGTTCAGGGAAGTTTTTAATGTATGATATTTTAGTGTTTTTTGGTTTTTATGGAAGCCGCCCAGCCAGATGGGCGGGGTACAAATAATAAATTATTATTATTATTATTATTATTCTTTACCGACTGAGCTATCTCATCAGTTTAAATGGTACAAACAATCCCCCAATGGTCCTTCCTGTTTATTCAATTATTCCATGCCCCCCACCCCTGCTGCCCTTTCTCCCAAAGGAACCCAGGGTGGCACACACATCAACAATAATAATTTCAAAAATTAAAAGCATCCTAGAAGTAGTTAAGGACGTTCTCTCAACCAGTCACCTCAGGGTTTCCAGGAACAGTGTATTTCAGCTGAGTATTGTTGCT